TTGATTTCTAACCACAATTTCTCTTGACGGAAGATAATCAAAGACCAAAATGACATTTCTTGCAAATTTTGAAGCATAATTAGTGGAAAAGTGAAAAGTTTGACTCACCAATTTTGACGTTCTTGAATGCTTATTTGAAATTAAAGAAACAAACTTCTACGCTAATTGAAACCACTAATTTATTCCACTAATTGCGCGGTTCTGAATGAAGTTTAAAATGTTTGTTAACTTTTTCCACTAATTGAAAATTCCTACCACTAATTTTGGCGTTCTGAATGTTTACATTAAAATTACAGGAACGAACTTCTACGCTATTTGAAACCACTAATTGGGAGGTTCTGAATGAAGCTTACCTGTGCTTACGTATAGTTTAGAAACTATGGCAATTACCCGAAATACAGCAAAACAACTACCAGTTGCACAAAGAGCCATGGAGAGAATTATGTTAGGAGTCAAAAACCGAAAAAACAAATGTAATAGATGTTGTTAAACGATTGGCAAGTCTGAAGTGTGAATGTAGCCAAGAAAAATAGGGACCAAGGGGACTGGAAGAAGTGTGGGCCGACCCAAAAAGAGATGGGTCAAAACAGTGGCAGGATGAAAAGAAGATGATGGTGGTTAAGTAGAATGTGCCTCTAGAATTCAATATACTGTGGTTTGTTGTATTTAGAATATGTTAGTATAATTATTAATTAATTATTTAATGTTGACTGCGACAACAAATGGATTCAACTATATTTTTTCCATATTTAAGTTTTACCTTGTCTTAAATCCTGCTTAAATTCCTCAAAAACTGTCGAATATACCTACTATAGTTAAATCGACCTAATAAGACCTAACATTTTCAGTAGTTTTGGTTTCATTAAATGTTGTTTAAAATAATGTAAAAATATAATAATGGCAACTAGATTCTAGAATTTACATCTTCAAGCCGACAATTAAATAACCTAATACATCAATCTAACAGTATCCATAATATGTGGAAGAACTAGTCTTACATAGTACTTACGGCTTCTTACATCGTACGGGTTAAATACAAACTTATTCTAATACTTACGATTCAATTAAATTATAAGGTTATAATGTTCTTTATTAATTATCTATTATTTTTAATTACACAAAAACTCAATATTTATCTTCAATATAACAATACCTATATAAACAGACTTATTACAAGCAAGTCGGTAGTGTAGAAGCAGTATGATTCTAATGAATGATGCATTACAAATAGGTTATTAGCTGCATCTGCCTATGTTGTTTGTATAAATTTAATATAAATTAGGTAACTTAAGAAGCGAAGATAATATATAATGTAAATGATATCTAATAATATTTGCATTTAAAACGAAACATGTATATAACATTATATGTGATCTAATGTATATTTGCAGCAATATGACAAACCCAACGCCAACAGAATTGTCGTTATATTTGTACTAAGAATATTAGTATAAGTATAAATGATACATACAGAACATTGTATTTCGATTAATATATCACATCAAAGAAAAACTAATCAAAAGAGATGTATGTTTGTTTCTTATTCGACTATTTTCTCATATGACTTCATTTGCTTTATTTCTGAAATAGGAACATATTGCTATTTCGAATAATTTTACAAAAAAAATGTTTATATTTATGATACTTAGCTTTTTATTATGAATATGGTTTCTATACATTTTTCTGTACACACTGCCCTATAATAAAGTGATGCCAGCGACATCCTTGCCTATAGACCTATAGAAACGTTTAGATAACAAACAGTTAACAGTTCTCACGAAATAACACATGACATTGGTCATCAAAATTCTATAGATAGCGATCAATGTGTGGGATAAAATGAAAAAAAAAGGGAATTAAACAGGTCAGCCAATGTCTTTGAAAGAACTAAGATCGATGATTACCAGCGTTGCCCCAACACAAAGGTGAATATAACTATTTACTAAACTCAAACCAATACCTCGCTGTTCCAAAAAGACCTGGTAGTTATTTTTATTTTGAATCTTCGCAGGATTAAAGGTAATAATAAATACTATATATCCAACGAGAGAATACATAACAGTGATAGCTGTGTATGACATTTTAATTTACAGGTAAGTGGTATTTTCTGTCATTTTTTGGTTTTTGTCTGTCGAAATCTTCCCTAACTGGACAGACTTTATCTGTCAAGATTCTGATGCTTTTTTTCCACTAATTTCTTGCGTGATATTTATCTGGCCCTCATGACAATTTTTGTCAGTATCCAGTAGGATGCTTGCGTCCTTATCCATGATCCATTTATTTTTAATTATTTCGAGGCTTCGTGAAAATATTCCACAGTCCGTTCCTTCTTTTCTTTTGGATTCTTCTGTCAAGTTGTTAATTAAACTTTTATTACAGTCTCAGCTTATATGTTGTTGTGATCTCGCAGGACTTATGAAAAGCAAACGTTGATAAAGTGCCATCCAAATCTACCTGTAGAAGTGTCATATTGACAACCTCGTGCGAGAAGTGGCTTCTGGTTACTCCACAATTCGCAAAAGAATTTACAGCAATGGACTTGATAAAGCACCATGGTTATTATTACCACCTCGATCAGAGAGACATCTAAAGGTTAAAAGCTTAGCATTACCTCTATTGTCTTTTTGGTATAATTCACATGGTTCCAGTCACAAGCAGCTACGTAATTTTGTGACCCTGACTGAGCTCGAACTTTGATTTTGTTTGGGGGATTTTAGCTTACCAAGCAATAGATCCACCTATTATGGGTCTCGCGATCACAGTATACATCCACATTCCTACTATATGCTTCAGCTTCAGGCCTCAAGTTTTCCTGCGACATCATTCACAAGATTCTTCGCCTTCTGCTTGCTGTCTTCTTTCCAAGTAAAGACACCAGTTTTACATAAAAGATCATACAAAGCTTCCATTGCCTAATCATTTTATTATCATCATCATCATCATCATTTTCAGCTTATTAAACAATTTCCAATTATGGTGTAACCTCCCACACATATTTAGATACTCTTTTTGTAGTTGGTCCCATTGGTTGTCTATTATTGGCTATGCGGGCACAAGCTATACCTGCTAATTTCAATATCATGGTCCCATCTTAAGTTTGGCCTTCTCCTAGGTCTCCTAATTCCTCGTGGGTACCATGCTCTAATTTTTGTTGGCCATATTTTGACCGTCCTTTTTGCCAGGTGTTCGGCCCATTGCCAATTGAGGGATTTGATTCTGTGGATGACATGTACTACCTGACTTTTATTTTATCTTGTCCACTCTATTCTTTTACGGTCTTTCTAGGTTATTCCCAGCATATTTCGTTCCACTGAGCGTTATGTGACCTGCAGTTTCCTTATAATGTACATTTTAAGTGTCCATGTTTCACATGCATAGGTCATGACTGGTATATAGTACACATTGGTCGAATGTTTTTTTTTAGATAATGTGGCATTCTATATTTGAATATGATTGAGTTTGTATAGGTACTTCATGCTAACTTAATTCTTCTGTTAATTTCTAGTAGTAGAAATCGCGAGCTGCGTTTTAGTTGTCCCAAATATATATCTTCTTCTACTATTTCTAGTGTTGTATTATTTATTAGAATGTCTTTTCTCTCTACTAGTTCGCTGTACATTATTTTAGTTTTTGCTAAATTCATTTTGTCACTTACTTTATTGCTGGCTGTATTTAATTCGTTGATTTGTTTTTGTAGTTTTTCAGGAGTATTGGCAAATTGGGATATCTATATCTATATCATCAGCGAATCTTAGATGGTTAAGATATTTTTCATCTATTTTTAATCCTTTGTTGGTGCAGTCCAGTTGACGGTAGATTTCTTCTAGTGTTGTATTAAACAGCTTTAGGAATATCGTGTCTACATATCGCGGCTATTTCCTAATTAAGGAAACCATCTCTATCTTCTTCAGATTAATGACTTGTGGGGGATATGTCCATATGTCCCAGTACCTTTCAGAGAAAGAAATTTTAAATATCTATGCTGCCCTGATTCCAACTGATTAATATGAGTGTTATAAATAGGAAACCAAATCATAGATGCATATTCTAACTAAGATTATATAAAAGAGTAAAATAATAGTTTTAAGGAGTCTATGAATACAAGTCTATACAACTATTCGATTTAGTAAGCAATGAGAGAAATTAAGTAAAAATAGTAATCTATATCATCAGCGAATAAATAATAAAATATAAAAATAATAAGTACTGCATAGAATAAATGCTATCCGATATTATAGAGAATTATATTCAAATTAATAACATGCCAGCTACCATTATATTCAAATTAATAACAACAGCTTATAGAACGGAATCATAATATATATGTAATTGACTTTGATGTGACCGCAAAAAAAAGTAGTAAGAGGATATGCATTAATACTTGGGCTAGGCGCTGACATGCAATCTCGAATCGACCGACTATTTAGTTGCAATAGTGAAAACAATATATTCTTAGGGAGTCGATCCCCCGTCTATTTGATTGCATATTGTTAGTGGCTTCTTAAGAATATATTTATCAATTCTGTGACTAAATACGGCTGACTCGAAATTACATGTGAGTGCCTAGACTCGACGTTTGGTCGTAATTTTGATGCAAATGTACACATACTAAATTAGTATTACGTAAATTTGGCCAAACTTCTATTTTTAATGAAAACAGTGTAATGGGTGCAAACTTCGCTATCGTACCGAAGCGGCACTCTAGCTTGTTGGCATCGCCTGGACCGCCTGCCGGCGTTACCTGGATGCGTTGGTACGTGTCGGTCATCATAGCGATCAGTAAGTTAATGAGCACCACCACCGACACCAACATGTACACGCCAAACACTAATTTGAACAGCACCTCCGTCCAATAGGGCTGATTGTTGTGGTTCGTGTTTTTGTTATAGCCGGGTATTTTGAGCAGGTCGGTCGACGTCTGGCCGAACACCGCAAAAAACAGTAGCTCGAAAGCGCTCACGGGGTTCTTTTGGACTGGAATCACAAATTATCACAATTACCTGGATGCGTTGGTACGTGTCCGACATCATGGCGATCAACAGATTGATCAGCACCACAACCGAAACCAACATGTAAATGCCGAAGGCCACCTTGAACAGATTGTCGGTCCACAGGGGTCGATACGGAGGAATGCTGCTCCCTCGTGGGGGCTTGACGGTCAGTTCGTCATAAGTAGTCTGGCCGAATACGGCGAAAAAGAGTAGCTCGAATGCCAGAAGAGGGTTCATAATCACTGAGAACATGACAGAGTGTTGTAAAAAAGACCTGGAATGGCCCAGCATACCATACTCCAACATTTTTCAAAAATAGCTAACGATTTCTGAAACTTTTCAATTCAGTAATCGTTATTTTACTAGTTCAATTAATATATGATAGCGTTGAAATGAATTTGATGATATTCATTTAATTTGATAAAGACAAGCAGGCAACTATAAGATCAGCATCATCTAAGACATCGACAGAACAGTTTAGACACCTACAAAAAACACGTGATCAAACAGAAATAATCCTGTTTCGTTCTAATTTTCTACTACATATACAAAGTGTCAGAGGTTGAGCATGCCTTAGAAGTTTCTAGGGAATTGCAATATCTAGGTCGGAGAATGTTTTGCACATTATTGTTTCACAACTAGCTTTATAGATTAAAAATATTTTCAATATGGCGGCATTTCTGGAAATACCGGAAGTTGACAGCAACTTTCTTATTTTAAATGGGTACCCCCATTTTTTATTACTAATTATTTATTCTCTGTAAAATTTCTCTATACCTACCTAAAATTAACTGTTTTTGAGAGAAATAATATTTAAAATTTTTGTCTGTGTTGTCAAAAAAATGTGTACCTATAACCTATGATACAAGGAGGGTTAGATAAGATATTACGCATGTAGTGGGCGGAGCTTAACAGAAAATTACTATCCGGGTGACGTCATGCGCGCGGAGAACAGATTTGCGACCGCCAAGTATCTTATCTAACCTTCTTGTATCATGCCTATAACTAGATTATTGTTTGACATTTAATGTCAAAGAAAGCTAAAGTCAAGAAAGATATACATTTCAAAACTAAATTTTTAATAACTTAAAACCGACTTATTTTAGGTATAGGAACATGTATAATCAAAAAATAATAAATTGAAAAACCTTTTCATTAATAAAATAAAAGATGTAGGTTTGTATTTGGAAAAAATGATTTATGTCGTAATTTTTTAATCGCTCAATTCTATGACAGCTACCGCCCATATTATATGGCATTCGAACAATTTAATTTTTGAAATACGGTTACATAGCTACATGTATTTCGTATTTCTTTTATATAACAGTTGGTGTGATACAGGGTTTTTTGGCAGGCAGTTTTTTTCGTCAATTTTTTTTTCTCAAAAACGGTTAATGTTCGATATAGAGCGTTTAACATCAAAATTCATAAAAATTACAGAGAAAGTAAGTATGTAATAAAAAAAGAGGATACCTCTTTAAAATAAAAAAGTTGCTATGTATTTCCGGAAGTGCCACCATTATTAAAAATATTTCTTTAATCGATACATCTCGTTGTGAAACAACGTTGTGCAAAAAATCTCCGATCTAAATATGGTAGTTCTCTAGTAACCTATTACATTATATTACACCCTCAGCCTGGGATACCCTGTATATTTTTTTATTTTAATATGAGACCAAAGATAAAAAGTATTCCTACATATTTTGATCACGCATTTTTATTATATGTATTTATATTGAAATAGAATAGACTACAACAACACTGAACATACACAGTTATAAGACAAGTAATTATCAACAGTTATAAAGATACTAAATTACAACGAACGATAAGAGACAGTAAACGTATTTAACAGACAGGACACATGTTTTGACAGTAGGACGACCACAAATATGCTAAAACGACATTGTTTTCACACAGATCACATCTTACTCCCGTCATCAAACTCTAAAGGAGGACGTTTCTTCCGGACATTGGCTCTGGTATGTGGTATATTTCTATCTACATCGATATCTATCCATTCAGCATCTGCTTCCGTTGTGACAAACTCTACAGGTGAAGTAGTTATTTATACACGCTGATATAGGTATAGTTTTTCAAAAAGTTAAAGTTGTCTTATAATTAGAATAAATATTAAAGAAATATTACAACGAGAATATTTTAGTGTACTTGCAGACTAACAAAACAAACAGTTGTTGATTTAAATATTGAAATAGTAGAAATACCAGTAAAAAATAGCATCTTTAAACTCAAATTTATGACACGATCATATGCAGCCTTGATTATGGCTGAATTTATTTTTCAAAGAACATAAAACTTCTAGACAATATACAGGGTGATTTTTAACCTATACGCATAAACTTGGAAAATTATTGCTGATGACAAATAATGACTAATAATGAAAAAAAAAATGTTAGTAAAATATTTTTAGATTCTGAAATAATTTGAGTTTTTTTTTTCACAAAAATTTATCAACTTTATCAGTAAATGCACATTCAATTTAATGGAATTTACGTTTTTTGTTTTTATTTCAAATAGTTTGTTATCTCCGTAAATAAAAATATTTATTGCACATTCAATTTATGGAATTTAGGTTTTTTGTTTTTATTACAAATAGTTTGTTATCTCCGTAAATAAAAATATTTTACTAACTTTTTTTTTTCATTATTAGTCATTATTTGTCATCAGCAATAATTTCACAAGTTTATGGCGTATAGGTTATATTAAAAATCACCCTGTAGTTTAGGAAGGAATACAATAATTGTTTTTCATGAATGGGTGTTATAAGAATTCTTATCATTTATTGGTATCAATGCAATTGGTATCAACATTTTATCTATTTGTTCTCAATTTTCAAACAAGTTATTTTTTAATTTGATTTTTTGCTGTAAGTCTGCGCGTACAATAAAAGTATTTGAAAAAAAAAATAACAAAACTGAAATATTCAGAGATATTTAGGCAAACCAAAGAGAAAATCAACTATTATTAATAGGTACATAAATATAACAAAATAAGATATGTATATATTTTAAGTAATTTGTAAGTTTTTTTTTCTTAAATTAAATATTCTAAACTAATATTTTACCTACCATCTCAAAAATAAGGCTATATTATATGTTGATCAGATTTCATATTAACTGCTTACTACTATGCTTTTTTTAAAATTCGACTCACATGACAATATTGAAGGCAAAGAAATCCAAATATTAATTCAAAAGTATTCAATTAGATTTTGTGATAAACCCAATCAAACCTTAACTAATAAACGTTAACAATTAATTTGTTTTAGTTATTTACGTAGATTAATTAGTTAGTCAAGCATGAAGTAATAATCAAATTTTCTTCTAAACCGGAGACAAATTGCAATACTGAAGTTAAATCGTTAAATATATACAGGGTGGTCCGAACTGTATTCCGGAAACTTCGGCAGCATATTCTGCAGATAAAAATAAGTAAAAAAGTTCGTATAAATGTACATATGTCCTAAAATGCTAAGTTTCGGAGATAGGGTGTAGAAGTTCCAAATAATTTCTGAAGAACCGTCAATATTTGGATGAAAATTGTTGTCTCGGAGTTTTTTGACATGAGAAATTTGATTTTGATGTCAATATGCATCCTATTTGTAGGGGGCGCCACCAACATAAAATATTTTAACTGTTTTAAAGAATAATAACTTTTCGGCCGTTCTTGTATCAAACTAATGAGTGAAGAAATATAGATTTCCGTTACTTTTTACGTAAAAAATGTCTCTTGGTAAAAATCGCTATGAGCAACTGTTTTCAAGACCTATTTAGAATACAAATTGTCAATACATGTCATTATTGACAAAAAATAAACACGGCTGAGTAGATATTTATGTCACTGAAATAATAAATTTGGGAAACTTATTTTTTAAAATTAATCATAAATAATTTATCTGCGAAAAAATTATGATAAAACAGTTTCTGTTGAACTTTTGGCACAAAATCACTTCAAATTTATGATTTCAGTCTAATAACTATTTAGTCAACATGTTTAATTTATGTCAATGATGACAGGTATTGATAAATTCTATTCCAAATATCTCGAGAACCGTTACTCGTAGCGATTTTTACCAAGAGACCTTTTTTACGTAAAAGACGTTTTTTACGTAAATGCATACTTTTTTAGTTATTCCGAAGTTTCCGGAATACTACTTCTACTTTCCGAAGTTTCTGGAATACAGTTCGGACCACCCTGAATATCACCATCTTTTTAGATTTGTCAAAAGTTTTTAATTCGATTTTATATTAAACCGAATCATAATTAAAGAATTTATGGAAAGTAGAGAATACAGATTTTCTGAAAAAAAAATTATGTGTGCAATATGTGCGCAGATCGGAAGTGAAACTTATTCTTACTAACGGCTACTAAATTGAAGGATCTGAAGGACATAGGTATAAAATAAGATAAAGGGATCGAAGGATAATTAAAACCGTACTATATTTCTTCTCCTCAAATGTTAGAGCTAGAGTCACTAGTTTTTTATAGCTTTGATATATACCAAGAATAGTGCTGTTTTCTCTTTGCTTTGGCTAAAACTGTTATAATAAGTATATCTCTAAATAAAATAATTAATAAAAAATATGCATACCATCTTTAAAGAAATCGTTGGACCTTCTTATTCTCTTTCCATTTTCAAAAGGTTGGTTTAATGCCACAAACTGCATTGAAAATCCAAAAACGAAAATGGCCAATACCGCCAAAAATCTGGCGAGATCTTTCATTAAATTGCCTATACAAATAATAATGATTAAGTATTACATCCTTGTCAGTTAAAACGCGCTGTTTAATATTACCTATAATAATAGCCCATGGTCCAAACAAATGATGAAACGATAGAAAATCTAGAATTTGTACACAGGCCAGCAGAAAACTTAAGGCGAACAGCTGGTTCCTGCAGTACATCAATGTGGGCCAGAACTTACGCTCTACAAATAACAGGCCCATTAGATGCACTCCTACACCAAAAATACTGAATAGCAGGACGGATATCTTTATCCATCCCAGGCCGCTTTTGTCGCTCGGATTCGTGAGTTCAAATAATAACAGACCACTTAACCACACTAACAGGATCCACTCGTACCAATATGGTATTAAGTTTGTTCTATTTATCGTCGGATACGGCGGAGTTATACCGACAATTAACAGAAATAACATAAGGTAAATGTGTGAAGTCAGATAAGACATGAACTTTATGATAGGCACTTTATGATATTTATGTCCTAAAGGTAACGTAAAAGCGATCCATACAGGGGGACAGATTATGAACAACACGAAAAGAAGCAGCGTCTTCCACGCGGCCCAGTTGAGGCCTCCTCGCCAGAGTTCCTAAAATGAAAAGTCAGTTTGTGAGAACGAAATTTAAAATAAAACTCATCAAAAATGAACATAGAGTAACTTACAAATTCTCTTATGCTATTAATATGGCGCGATCAACAATAACTGAAATAGTTGAGGATTTTAGGATTATAGTGATTTAATCAGTGCTAAAACAAATCATCGACCTAGAAATTTTGGCAAATTACGTCAATACACTGACATCATTCTTAAGCTTCATTCAGAACCTCGCAATTAGTGGAATCAATTAGTGGTTTCAATTAGCGTAGAAGTTTGTTCCTTTAACTTCAATGTAAGCATTCAGAATGTCAAAATTTGTGGTAGACATTTTCAATTAGTAGTTCCACTAATTATACTTGCGAGAAATGTCATTTTGGCCTTTGATTATCTTCCGTCAAGAGAAATTGTGGTCTCTGTTTTGTGGTTAGAAATCAAGTTGATTGTTTTATAAGCAAAATATTAGGCTTTCTCTATGGATACAGCTGACTAATGCAAGCTGTTGCTAGGATATTCTATTAATTTTAATTGTGTTTTTTAGACATTGTGAATGATCGTAAACTAAGAAGTATAAAGTGTAATTGCTACCACTAATTGCGAGGTTCTGAATGAAGCTTTATTCTATCTCCTGAAATTTTACAAGCTTTACTTTGGTATTTGTGAAATTGACATATTTTTCAATGTAAAAAATAAAATTTTGCAATATATTGGCGTATTTTTATCCCAGCGTTCAAAACAATATTACAAGTACAGTACAAAATCGCAATTTTGAACACCGTTTAATTACTTATTAAATATCAGAAACGAATTATTAATTATTAAATATCAGAAAATATACAGGGTGCTACAAATTCGAAGTACGAGCATTGGTATCTCGGTAACCGTAATGGATACGAACATGGTTAAATTGGGGCAAAGTTGCGTATTGGGGTGTTCACCAAGATGTCATCAAAAAAGATTTAAAAATATCAAGGATTGCTGAGTTTTTAGAAAAAAATAATTTTTTTGATAAAACTCTTTGCACATTCTCATAGCCACTTTATTAGGGCAATCTGACAGTATTTTTAGATTTTCAAATTAGCTGAAAATTTGTGAGATACAGAGACCAACTTAATTTTTTTTAAATACGGACCTGCCCTTTTTATTTCAGATTTTGAAAGAACTCGGTCTCCTGAATACAATGATATGCCACACATTATACTTTTTTTTTGTTCTGGATTCCTTAACAGCAACAAAGCTATTTAATTATTATTTAAAATAATTTCAAGTCCGACTCTGGTTTCTTAAATTATTTAATTAGATTATATTCATCGCAACAATATTGAGCAGCGCTAATTAACATTGAATAAGGAAAATTGAGCCAATAGTACCTCGAATTTGTAGCACCCTGTATAGGCTTGGTGTATTCTCCGCCGGTGCTGCCACCATCGGAGAATATCATAAACAACCGACATATAGGTACAAATACACGAGTTTATAGCGAGAATACGAAAAATGTAGTACATAATTATTATTCTAAAAGTGTTGGGGAGTATAATTTGTGAATATTCTAAAATTAAAAAAAAATATGCTCTCTTCAGAAGGTCTACCTTATACTATAACTTATTATTCAAGCTAATAAAACTTATTAGACGTGTCCCCATAGTCAAATAAAACTATTGTGTCCCCCTTTCTTGAGTTATAACTCATCATACAGTCCCAGGACTTCCTACGGAGACCCGTGTCCCTCACAGTCGAGGAGCTACGACCCAGGCCGGGTAGACGAAACGGTAGCTTGTGTCGCCTGTTGGGTTTAGAGGTAGGAGGTAGGCTCCCGACCCTTGGAGGAGGTGGTAGCTTGTATGCCACTTGCGGAGGATGGTCTCACGCAAGTGTCAGCCACCTCTCCTGTAGTTCTCTTTGGGTTTGGCCCCTTGGAACTTTCATTGTTACTGTTCCCAGTGTCGCTAGGGGGTTTCCCCACAGCTTCACAGGTGATGTTTTTATTACTATTATTACCAGATCTCATAGTGTTCCTATGAGTCGCTGGGGACAGTATCCTCTCATAGTATATGCCTATTTAAATTTTTGATTATGTAATGGGCACTTTGTTTACTCACTTGTTTCGTCGAGCTGCTTGAATCCATTTTTGCTTTTGATCAAATCGGTGTGAGAATTTGTAAAGCTATAAAGTTGTTTAGGAATAGTTATATCAGGGAAAGTTGAGTTATTGAATGTTATTGCACCCAACAACCACGTATATAATTACGCCCTCCATTTTTTCGACAATTTTATTAACATTTGAAATAGTCACAACCACAAAACGATGCCCAGTTCGGGTTCTTTTCCACTTAATTTTTACAACACGAAACAGCGTTACATCACACAAACCTCGTACCTAAGAGTTTTATAGTTTCAATAACTGCACTATTAAAAACTAAAATATTTAAATATTATGACAAAGCCACGATTTTAATATTATTTTAATGCGATCAACATCCAAACTGCGTGAAATACAGAGCCGAAAACTTCTGATTTCTGCCGTATCGAGCGCTGCGGTATCAATTTTTAAAGTCAAAAGTCTATAGTTAAAATTTTAATTTTAAAATTTAAAATTTTCAATTTAAAAATAATGTTAACCAGGAAATAACAAAAGAAGATGGAGCAATTTGATAAGCCTATATAAAAGTCATTTTGTCTTTTAAATTTATAAAAATATGTAGAACTTCTTATAATAATTTCATATTAAAACACACTTTATGAAATATATTAGAGAATTTATAATCACTCTATGTGGTAAGTGTACAAATTTTCTATTCCCTCTTGATTTACCTATCCTTTACCTGAAGATATCGTTGAACAACAGTATGCGCAATAACTTCTTTTTGCTCATTTTCAATTAACACGTCCAAAAATTCAACGCTTCTCCTGTCAGTTGCAGTCAAAATTTTTCCAGCAGAATCAGCTCCAGCCGCTGCAACAGTATAAAATATACATAATATATACTCACACAGGAATTAAATATTCTCAAAACATATACTAAACTATACATACCTAACGCTAGAAGTTCAGTAGCCATAGCTTCGCAAAATTTTCCCGCCGATATTAAGTCTTTAGCCCTTTCTTTTTCCTTATTTGAAAGAACTATTAAAATATTAGATAATTTAGCTGCCGTGTCCACTGGGGCAGGTGAAACCAAAACAAATTCTTCTATTGGTCTGTTATTATGGTTTTTCGAACAAATCATTAAATTATATACAAATCTGTGAAACATTTACAGTTAATTAAATTCTACCAAAACGAAAATAAAATCATATCAAACCTTCTGTCTTCCATTAAAGTATACGTATCGTGTTCTTTTGTCATCAAATATTCTAGTACCCCATGGTGGCCTTCAGATGCCGCAAACCAAATAGGGACGGCCCCCAAATTTGTTTCGGATTTTGGAGATGCCCCTGACTCAGTTAATAGTTTAACAACTTCAAAGCATCCTGCTCGTGAAGCACAGTGTAAAGGGGTCCATCCATTTTTATCTGGAGCATTTATATCAGCTCCTTGGCCTAAAATATTTGACAAGTGATTAAAGCGTTTATATAACATAAAAAAGATACAAATTATACCTAAAAGGACTTCAACCATTTGATAATGCCCATGAGTAGCTGCAATATGCAATCCGGTTTTTCCATGCTTATCCCTACTTTCTAACAATTCTGCCGATCTACTTAATAACAGTCCTACAACAGTGACATGGCCTCCATAACAAGCAAGATGCATGGGATTGTAGCCCTTAAAATGTATGATTATATATCTATTTAGGAATTAGTATTACAAATTACATTTTCATGAGTTGCTGCATCGACTTGAACACCAGCAGAATTTAAAAGTAATCGTACAACGTTTTCATTTCCAGAGAATGACGCCAGATGTAGGGGTGTCATACCAGATTCATTTCCGAGAGCGGGTACTAATGAAGCACCGTTTGGTTGCTCAGACTTTACGGTACCAGGTACATGAGTAAGTAATTCGCGCACAGTGTCTGCTTGACCGAAATATGCTGCAACATGCAATGGAGTGACACCTAGTTTTTTGCTAGTCACTCTTAGATTATTGGATGATCGCAAAACTTCTAACACTTGCATGTGACCATTTTGAGCTGCTAGATGCACAGCAGTAAATCCTCCTGGAAACCAACATTGTATATATTTATAATATTAGTTGTTTCTATTTTTACTTACCTTTGTTTTCTTCAGTTACCGAAGCTCCAGCTCGAACTAAGGCTTTCACGACTTCAGCATGTCCTCCCTCTGCAGCCATTTGAAGAGGCGTAGAATCTGTCAATTTGTTCCTAGCGGATATTACTCCCTATAAAATAGAATCACACACATCCTTAACACATCTGAGTCTCATGAATTCAATTAAAGACAGTTTTAGTATTTTTAGTCTCGAATAACGCTCTACCAATCAGAATCAGTTCAGTACAGCCAGCTTTTAAACTTTTTTTTGAAAAGATTATATAGTTGTATCTACAAGGTATCTACTATTCCATTAAGAGGTGTCGAAGGTTGGTAACGAAAAAAGTTAAAGTTTCGTAACATACCTAAAAGTTATTTATAGCAGTGCGTAGCTGGACAGCGTACAATAATTATACGTGGAACACAATATCTGCCAAATGGCCACCACGACTTCTTTGGCAGCCCACAATTCTTTTGTTGAAATTTTTAGTCACAGGAGTTATGTCACGAATTATTCGCCTAATTTCTTCTTTCAATTGTTGAATGGCTTGCCACCAATATTTTTGAAAATGAAAACGAACAAGCTGTTACAGTAAAGGGAGAACGATTCCGAACGATGATTGATGTTTTCTTGTGGAATCAAATAATGGACATGGATATAGAAAATATGTGGTTCCAACAAGATGGTTCGACACATACAGCAGGTGAAACTTTGAATTTATTAAGTACACAGTTTGGAAAGAGGCTTATCTCCAGGAATGGGGAGGTAAATTGGCCACTAAGGTCATGCGACTTGACGCCACTAGATTATTTTTTGTGGGGCTGTGAAAATGCTATTGTCTATTAAAATGTGAAAAGCAAAGCTTACGAAACAATACGCAAATTATACAACAATTGAAGGAAAAAATTAGGCGAATAATTTGTGACATAACTCCATAAATGTGTTCAGAAATCTGCCAGAGGAATCGTAGTGGCCATTTGGCAGATATTGTGTTTCACTTAGATATAATAATTGTATGTACACTATCGAGCTACGCACTGCCATAAATAACTTTTAGGTATGTTATGAAACTTTTATTTTATTCGTTATCAAAATTCCGTAACCTCTTATTGCAACACCCTATACAATTTTAATTTAATGACCCAGACATATAAGTATTACATTCTATTGAATAATGTTGTCAATTGTTTCATTTAAGTTGCGTCTAATATTTTGCTTACCTATCACTTTTATACTTTTACATCTATAGCTTACCTGTCGATCAAATTTCATCAGTTCTTCTATGACAGTTACACTGCCTTGTGCTGCCGCAATGTGAGCACAAGTATTACCGTCTCTAGTGGTAGCCATTACTAGGCTAGGATGTTGTTGTAAAAATAATTTGGCAACTTCGGAGAAATTGTTTTGGCAAGCGGCGTGTATAGGCTTCTGGCCATCCTCATCTAGTTGAAGTTGAAATATTATATGACAATTTAATAAAATAATAATGTATCATTTACCTGTAGCGTCAATATCTGCCCCCAGTTCTAGTAACAACTTACATACTTCAATTTGTCCAGCACCTGCTGCTAAATGCAAAGGAGTTTGCTTTTTCAATGTCAAGATATCGATGACGGCGTTGTGGTCTTTTATGAGAAACTTTACCAAATGGACATAGCCATTTAGGGCAGCCAAATGAAGCGCTGTGGAAGTTTTATGACATTAAAGAATTGAAAAAAAATCACGTGATTTTTAATTACCCGTCCGACCGTTTCTTGATTTGGAATTAATAAAGGCTTTATTTGTTAAAAGTGAATCACAGACGTGAAGGTATCCGTGTTCAGCTGCTAAATGTAATGCAGAGCGACCATCGGTATCAAAGACATCTACTCTGGCATGATTAGCTAGCAGATTATTTACCAAATCAATGTGACCTAAAAAAGAATATATAAAACAATATTTTATTTGTTCAGTTATCATACAATATACAATGCAGCTAGGTTGCTGGTTTTTATTTTCATATTTTTAATACCAATAAAGTTTCAGTATTTTAAATAAAGCCAGTTATTAGGAAAGAAAAAGTATTGAAAAAAATAGAGGGAGAAAAAATATGGATAGCAAATAAGAAAGACAAATACGGAAAATAGAATACTGGGGAAATAGAATACTGAAGGGAAAATAATATGCATCAGAGAAAGTATGGAGAGAAATTGTTAACGACAGAAAAAAATAAAGAAAAAATAAAAAGTAGGGTTGACCACGAAGTACGTAAAGAAAAATTACGGAGAAAAAATACGGTGATAGAAAAGTATTGAAATTAAGTAAGGAAAAAAGAATGCCGAGGGAAAAGATAAGTATAGAAAAAAATAAAACGGATAAGTGCGTAAAAAAGTTCGGAAAAAAAAGAAAACGGAGAGAACAAGCACTTAAAGAAAAAATAACGAATAAAAAATTAGAGAGAGAAACAGTATGAAAGAAACAGTACGGATAGAATGAAGTACGAAATAAAATAGGCCAGAAAAAAAATACAGATGAAAAAGTACGAGAAGAAAAAGTGCGAAAAGGAAAAATTACGAAAGAAATTGAATTGGTAAAAAATACTGTGAAAAAATACACACAAAGAGCGACAAAAAATACCGAAAAAAAATATAAATAAAAATAACGAAAATAGTAGTATGGAAAGAAAAAGTACGGATAAAAAACTGTAGAAAAAATAGAAAGATAAAAAGTAGGTTCGATGAAAAGATACGGAGAAAGAATACTAGAAGGCCAAATACATATAAAAAAGGAAAGGGCAAAGAACAGTATATCTCTATTGCGTTTATCAAAATTTACAGATTACTTTATAAGTTTCGTTACTTCTTTTAATATCCTAGTTAAAAATGAAAATATTTAATGTAAACTTTTATTAAATTATTGTCCAATCACCCAATAACTGTGTACTATCAACCCTAGTATCAACCTTGTGAAACTATTCTCATGAAGATCTGCTTCTCGGTTATAGCAACTATGCAAATACCTTTATGAGCAGCAATCAGCAGTGGCGTCCAACCGTTGCCATTCTGTCTATTCAAGGCCTTCTGAGCATCCGTAGGTGACATATGCGAAATCATCTCCATTAAAACATCGTTGTTTCCCGCAGAAGCAACCAAATGAAAAGCCGTCTCATGCTGTTTCGTTTGAAGTTTTACATCGGCTCCATTTTCCAAAAGAAGTTTCACCACTTCTCTGTGGAATAACGAGATAAATACAACTCGAAAACATTTATTTAGAATTAAGGAAGGAGCATAATACTATCCATGGATTCATGCATGATGGATGGAAGCGACATCATAGGTCATAGGTCCTTACTACATCCTTAGATAGTTCTGTTTGACGTTTTAAATGAAACATTTGTATTTGATTTGATATTTTGCGGATTTGTTTGTCTTTTCTGAGGTTATTTTGTGTTATTTATTCAACAATTGGTTTTATTTAAAGGTAGTCAATGTAGAATGAAATTGTGCGGGAACTTAAATTAATAGTGACACTATTGCGATTTATCAAAAAAGACTGTAAAATAGTTGGTTGTGTAGCATGCGGTAGATCTCGGCCAAAAATTGAGGGAAATAATGAAATAACTTTTCACTGGTCAGTAACTATACACTTACTACACTACTAGTACTTAGTAGCACTGATAAATTGGAATTTAAATCGGCCATATTAGGTCCACATCGCGGACAGGGTATATAAGGCTGGATTTATAAACTCGGGAGTTGACGTTCAGTTGAGGTCCAGTTACAGATGGGTGTTCGCGGCAGTTGAGGTTCAACATTTTTGTATTTATAAACCTATCAGTTTTGGTTGTAGGTTAGGTTTGGAATTGTAAAAAAAATCGAACGTTTTTCTTTTGATGTAGTTGTTTTATATTTTGATAGTTTTGTTAGTATATGGCATAAATTGGGATAGTTTCCGGTCACTTCCTGTTTCACCGGAAATGACTATAACATTTGATTTTTAAATGGCACCCTTGGTATTTTTTTACTTTATTCGATAGAAAATAACGCTCTGAATAGAATGACATATCACATGTCAACTTTTGACATTTTTGTATATAATTTCATTTTAATCATTTTATAGTGTTGAACATTTTGAACGTCAACTGAACCTCAACTGAACTTCAACTACCGAGTTTATAAATCCAGCTTAAGTTTTTGGTATGCTCCCGCCTTAATATTTTTATTCAAAAGATTTTGAGCAATATACCTGTCGGAATTGGGAATTTCAACTTCATCCTTTGTTACAGTACACACATAATGGAGGGCGCTATCATCGTTTTCTGTCAACTCGTTCACATAAGCTGATGCTGTAGATTCGCCTTTCTTATCTTTGACGTACTTGATCAACTGTGTGACTGCATCAGGTCGACAATTTCGGCTGGCCAAATGTAAAGGAGTCTCTCCTTTCTAAACAAATACAATAACAATTCATTAACTGCAACTGTTTTAAGCTCTTTAAACATTTTAAAAATTATTAAATAGTTACTAACACCGAAAGCAATATACCATAATCCGTTGGCAGTACATAAGCAGAAGCTTAGAATAATAAAATTTTAATGGAAATGTCACACCAAGAATAAAACGGACAGAAGATGAAGCATATAGAGAATAAAAATACTTATCTAAAATCACTACTTACTTTATGAGTAGCAGATGAGATCTAGAAAATAATACGGCTTATTATATTTAAAAGAAACATGAAAGCAGTGTATACGAGTATAATGAAAACGTGAGTTTAACTACACCTTTTATATCTAATAGAAAATTTCAATATTAAATTAATACCTACATAATACACTATAACTTATGACTGTATTGCTGTTGCATCTACATTTAAGGTGTTTTTAAGTAAAACAAAATATTAAAAATAGGTATATCTAGAATAAATTAATATCGTACGACAGACTCAAAAGTGACGTAGTCAAAAGTGGCTCGCCGCTATAACTTTTTTATTTTTTCAGTTAAAAAAACGAGATTTGGTATGTTAGTATATGACATAAATTAGGATTGATTGGCATATTCAATTGTTTTCGGTCACTTCCTGTTTCAGCGGAAACGACTACAACTTATGATTTTTAAATGGCACCCTCGGTATTTTTTTACTTTATTCGATAGAAAATAACACTCTGAATAGAATAACATATTATATGTCAACTTTTGACATGTTCGCATATGGTTTATTTGAAATTATAACTTGCGGTTTGTAACGAAAGTGTGTGGTATCAAATTTGAAAAATTGAGATATGATTAAAAATACGATTTGAGGACTTTCTAACTGGCCAGGACAAGACACCAAAAACATTAGACGATCAAATCTATTTTTGCAAGGCTCCTTGATTAAGAATTAGTGCTTTTAATACAGTCATGGCACTCTAGATTGAAATTGAAAATAGAATTTTTTATTAAGCGAGAATGTCAAAAGTTGGCGTATGATATATCATTCCATTCAGAATGTTATTTCCTATCGAATAAACTAATATATATACCGAGGGTGCCATTTAAAATCAAAAGTTGTAGGCATTTCTGGGTTTGGAGGAAGTTACCAAAAACAATTGAATACGTCAATCAATCCCAATTTATGTCATATACTAACATATCAAATCTCGTTTTTTATCTGAAAAAATAAAAAAGTTATAGGGTGAGCCACTTTTGAGACGCACCCGGTATATTAAAATAACTTCGAAATAAAGGTAGCTTTTCACCGTAACTATATGATTACAGTTGAGGGGTTGGAACCTTTGGTGTTAAACAGCAAAATAAAAACACTAAATCACCACAATACACCAAAAGCCTTTTACTTTTACACTGGACGCGCGTTTCGCTAACCATGTTAGCATCATCAGCAGATGATTATAAACTAAAGTACAATCTACAAGTTGAGCGTTTATATACTCGCCCAGTGGGCACCGAGTGGGCGTGGCAAAATATAGCCAACCGAGTCAGAACCCACTGAGCAAAACAGTTAGATTTCCGCCACTAGAGTAGTAGGAACAAAGAACTTGAAGGAATTGGACCGTTGTCTCTGTTCATACTATCTTTACATTTATTAATTCTGATGCTTTCATATGCATCTAATTGCCTGTAATTTGAGAGTTGTTTAATTAATTTTAAATTATTAAGACCTATACAATGTTCTTTATCAACAATATGTTCGACAACGGAAGATTTATCCGGTCTACCATATCTTATCTGAGCTAAATGTTCTTTAAATCTAGTTAATATTGATCTTCTAGTTTCCTCAACATATTTCTGATTACAATCTTTACAAGAAATTTCATAAATACCCGACCTTTCCAGTGGAGGTGTTTTATTCTTTGGATTACCTAATAATTGTTGTAATTTATTATTAGCACTATACACAAGTTTATAATTGACATTCTTAAAAATTCCTTTTAGACCACGGGATAACTCTCTATCAAACGGTATCGAAAAATATTCAGACGTATCTTTCTCCACTTGAAAAGTCGAATTTTCAGAAATCATTAACCTATACCTACGTTTTCTAATTAATTGATCAACTCGTGAAGGAGAATATCCATTATACTCAGCTACATTCCTAATGTAATCTCTTTCTATTTCATATCTTTCGTTGGAAAGTGGGAAACTAAATAATCTATGAACTAAGAAATTTAAACTAGCCATTTTATGTTCAACACTATGATGTGATTCATTAGGAATATATCTGCGTGTGGTCGTATTTTTCCTATAGATATCAAATTCCACGCAATTATTAGTATTTCTAATAACTAATACATCTAGAAATGGTAATCTGTCGTTGTTCTCAATTTCATGCGTAAATTTAATGGAAGGAAAACGATTATTTAACTTAGAAATAAAATTATCTATGGTGTCTCAATGTGTGTCAAAAACAACAAAAATATCATCCACATACCTAACCCATACTCTTGGAAAATACTTAAACTGATTCTTAGCTTCCACTTCAAACCTGCTCATGAATAAATTAGCCAAAAATGGAGACAATGGATTACCCATTGCTGTACCTTCCCGCTGTTCAAAAAAGTTGTTATTAAATTGAAAACAGTTTTGTTTCATACATAACGATGTAAGCTCAATATATTCAATCACAGTTTTGTTGTCGAGACCATTTGCGTTCAGTAATTCCTTCAAGTAGCCTAAAGTATGTGGAATTGGAGCACTTGGGAACAACGAAGATACATCAAAGGAGACCAAAATTTCACCTTCATGCAATGTTATATCTTTAATTTTGTTAATGAATTCAATATTATTTTTAACTGCGAAAGAAGGTTCATGATCAGGTAAATTTTCGAACTCCCTTGATAACCATTTTGCCAAATTATAAGTCGGAGAACCTACAGCCGATACAATTGGGCGCATAGACTTGTCCGGTTTATGAATTTTTGGCAAAGCATACAATTTTGGTAATAATTATTGGTAATAATATATACCTAGGTTAATGATTTCTGAAAATTCGACTTTTCAAGTGGAGAAAGATACGTCTAAATATTTTTCGATACCGTTTGATAGAGAGTTAACCCGTGGTCTAAAAGGAATTTTTAAGAATGTCAATTATAAACTTGTGTATAGTGCTAATAATAAATTACAACAATTATTAGGTAATCCAAAGGATAAAACATCTCCACTGGAAAGGTCGGGTATTTATGAAATTTCTAGTAAAGTTTGTAATCAGAAATATGTTGAGCAAACTAGAAGATCAATATTAACTAGATTTAAAGAACATTTAGCTCAGATAAGATATGGTAGACCGGATAAATCTTGCGTTGGCGAACATATTGTTGATAAAGAACATTGTATAGATCTTAATAATTTAAAATTAATTAAACAAGTCTCAAATTACAGGCAATTAGATTGCATATGAAAGCATCAGAATTAATAAATGTAAAGATAGTATGAACGAAAACAACGGTCCAATTCCTTTAAGTTCTTTGTTCCTACTACTCTAGTGGCGGAAATCTAACTGTTACGCTCAGTTAGCTCTGACTCGGTTGGCTAGTTTTTGCCACGCCCACTCGGTGCCCACTGGGCGAGTATATAAACGCTCAACTTGTAGATTGTACTTTAGTTTATAATCATCTGCTGATGATGCTAACATGGTTAGCGAAACGCGCGTCCAGTGTAAAAGTAAAAGTGTTTTGGTGTATTGTGGTGATTTAGTGTTTTTATTGTAACTATATGCTCTATTAAAGAATTAATTAAAACAATTAAACATGTAACTTAATGACATTGTGGATTGAATATTTTGATATTTATTGTGCAAGTATACTAAAAGTATTTTCAGCACGAACATCAAAATACTTTAATAAATAATACATTTAATTATTTGTCAAATTTAATTCGAACATTAATTCTAGAGAACCTCAAAGAACTTAACATTTAGAATCTAACTACCAATTATTTATTAAGGCCAATTGCGACTGAAGTGAAGGATTTCTTTTTGAAAATAAATTACATACATAATATTATAAATATGATAATTGGAGTACCCAGCAATTTATTTATTTTCAGATATTTCTTGCCTACAAATTTTTTTCGGATAAATTTTTCAATTTATATTTTTATTCAAGTAATGTTAATAATTTGAGAATAAGAATCAGAAAAAGGATTAGCAAAAATTGCAATATTTATTCAATAAGTTGTGTAATATCGTTAAGAACGATACTAACTAAACTTAGTTAATAAACCAAATGAACTAATTATACTTTTTAATGGTGCGTTCTCACCGGCTGCGCCGCTCAAATCATTTTTTTACATATACTTTTGTGCCCGCTAAAAAAATACACTTCAAAAGTACATGTTTTGCGCAGCGCAGAGCCACGCAGCCGAGCCGGTGAAAACGCACTTAAATATACCTAACAATTTGTATTTAATATTATTTCTCAAGGCAATCTATTTAGAGCGTTTTTATAAAAACGATATAAGAAAAATCACCGTACTATTCCGATAAAAGTATAATCTATACTTTTGGTTCACATTTCATTTACGCCTGATCAAAACAATAATAATTGACCATTGGCCAATAAGCTATAAATCTTTACTTAGTTTTGGTACAGTTTTTTTTACAACAGGATCGACTCGATTTTCAATCGGGTTATTTTATTATTCCTAAAGTGGGGTTACCAGATGAAAATTTGTCTACCCCGGGCAAGCCTTCCCAAAAATCCGGACACAATCCGGACATCATAATTTTTTAGAGATATAGGAGCAAAAATAGTACCTATATTGTTTTATTAAGAGTAAAAATGATACTTTTTATGGCGACGCTGTACTGTGACATAAAAGCGAGGCACAAAAATCATTTTTACTTCGAATAGAACATGCTATTTTTTTCAAACGCCATAAATAATTCTTTAAACAATTTCAAACGTTCCAAATAATATAAAAAGATTTAAAATAATACCTTGTAAGTAATTATATATCGAGAAACTACTGTTACGTTCATTGAATTTGGCACTTTATGTCAGTTTAATAATATATTATCCTATTTTTGTGCTTAGGCGTAAAAGTGCTTTATTTTTATGCCTAGGCAAAGATAATTCTAGTGTTAACTATAATATTATTCTTTAGCCTATACGTTAAAATGACTTTTTTATATCGCCAATCACTTCGCAAAAATTAATACTTTTGTTACGTTTACGAATATTCATTGTTTTACTTCGTCGAAAAAATAATCGTCGATAAAATCGTCGATAAATTTATTAAAACTAATATATATTATCTTGCATTATTGCGACATTTCTTCATGGAACATTAAAATCGGGACGCTTACGAAAAATCAGCCCGGTCTCAAACGGACGTAGTGAAAATCCGGACATGTCCGGATTAATCCGGACGTCTGGTAACCCTATCTTAAAGCCACTACACACGTTTATGCATATGCCTATTGGACAAGTGTACTTGTGCCAGCGTACTTGTACAAGAATCTTGAGCGTGTGTAAAGGGGGCTACAGATGTTCATGCATACTTGACAAGTGTACTTGTGCAAGCGTACTTGTATAAGAATTTTGAACGTGTGTAGGAACAAACTTGTACAAGTATTTCGACTTGTGTAAGTGGATTAGACTTGTACGAATTTTCTTCATGCCCCAGTGATTTGCGCAAGTATGCATGAACGTGTGTATCAAACTTGAGCAAGCCTGAAGTTGATTCTAGTAGGTTTATTGCTTGGTTCTTATTTGTTTGTTACCAGAAGATAGATAAAAATGGCTAGTGAACATGAAAAAAGTATGCGGGAGGTATTGGTGGAGTTTATTAGTATTTATAGAGAATCTCTTTGTTTATGGCAAGTAAAATCAAAGGACTATCATAATAAAAACAAAAGAGAGGCTGCATGTAAAAGTTTAATTAAAAAATTGCAAGAAATTGATAAAACTGCAAACCGCGATTTGATTGTAAAAAAAATAAACAGTTTAAGAACAAATATTTAGCAGGGTAAAACTTCAATTCGCTTAAAATATTAGTATGCGAATAAATATTCATTTTTAGAAGGCAGTTTTTGCATCAAAATCGACGGGTTTTCTTTTTTTCTTTTTGTTTAAGCAGAATAACGAACATCGCAAGAGCTAGCGCGTCTTCTTCGTCCATTTTTACCTACTAAAACCAGAAACTATTCAAGTGCGCTTGTATTGTGTAGAGTCAATGCAAACTTGTACAAGTACGTTTGCACAAGTACACTTGTCAAGTATGCAAGAACGTCTGTAGCCGCCTTAAGGAGAAACTCTCGGACAAACTTGTATAGGTATTTCGACTTTGTGCGAGTGCCATCGACAAATTTTCTTCTCTAAAACGTGTGTATGGAACTTGTGTAAGTACAAGTATAAGTACAAATACTTGTCAAGTATGCATCAACGTATGTAAAAGCTTTTATACATATTCCGCTTACGTGAGCCACATACATAACGATATACTTGCGCAAACTTAAAACATGCGGAAGTATATTGGAACTTGTGTTATTGGAAGTATATTAGAACTTGAAATTCTCGGCCTATGCTGCCGGACCGACTAATTAAAGGTGTCTACAGACGTTCATGCATACTTGACAAGTGTACTTGTGCAATCGTACTTGTACAAGTTTGCATTGACTCCACACTATACAAGCGCACTTAAATAGTTCTAGTTTGGTTTTAGTAGGTAAAAAGGGAGGAATAAGAGGCGCTAGCTTTTGTGATGTTTGTTATGCTGCTTAAACAAAAAGAAAAAAATAAAACCCGTCGATTTTGGTGCAGAAACTGGATTTAAAAGAGGAATATCTATTCGCATACTAATATTTTAAACCAATTGAAGTTTTACGAATTATTTACGAATGAATGAAGAAACATATTTTAAACAGTTATCACTTGTTACCCCTTTTATTGAAAAGAAAGATACCACCATGAGAGAAGCCATAAGCCCGCATAAAAGATTATCAGCAACCTTACGATTTCTTGCGACGCGACGGGAAGAAGCTATGAAGATATGAAATTTTCCCGAACCTGAACGTTGCTAATCTTCAACTTTTTTCTTCTCCTTTCGAATATCTGTTCTTAAACTGTTTATTTTTTTACAACGGAATCGCGGTTTGTAGTTTTATCAATTTCTTGCAATCTTGTAATTAAACTTTTATATGCAGCCTCCCTTTTGTTTTTGTTATGATAGTCTTTTGATTTTACTTGCCATAAACAAAGATACTCCCTATAAATACTAATGAACTGCACCAATACCTCTCGCATACTTTTTTCATGTTCACTGGCCATTTTTATCTATCTTCTTGTAACAAACAAATAAGAAACAAGCAATAAACCTACTAGAATCAACTGCAGGCTTGGGCAAGTTTAATACACACGTTCATGCATACTTGCGCAAGTCACTGGGGCATGAAGAAAATTCGTACAAGTCTATGCCACTTGCACAAGTCAAAATACTTGTACAAGATTGTTCCTACACACGTTCAAGATTCTGATACAAGTACGCTTGCACAAGTACACTTGTCAAGTATGCATGAACGTCTGTAGCCGCCTTTACCGGACCGGAGCATATGCGAAGGAACTAATTTATTTATATTGGAATCGATTCCGATTCCGATTTTACCGATGTCTGTGCAAGCGCTCTTAGGCTACGCTTGCGCAAGTATATCGTTACATCTGTTTTTAAATTTAATTACAAGCAGCTTTTTATGTTCTACTTTTATAATATTTACAAGCAATGAAATTAAATTGTTGAGAAGAATTTTGCGTCGTATTTTTAATTAAGCACCTTCCGAAAACTCAATTAAAATACGATCCTGCTGAGAGGCATACGTGCTTGTATTTACATCAGGCGTAAATGAAATGCGAATAAAGTATACTTGTACCCTATAAGACGAAGATAAACAAATTAGTTGAGTATGTTTAGTAAAACACAAGTAACAAGTACCTTGTTTTTATATTGCGGATCTCCACCATCTTCCAACAAGAGCATGAGGGTCTGCAAGTTGCCATATTTAGCGGCTACGTGGACCGGAGTATTACCGTCGTGAGTCGCCAAGTTTGGAGCAGCACCGGATTTCAGTAACATTAACGCGCATTTTTCTCCGTCTTTTACTCTGGCTGCTATATGCAAGGCGGTTTCTTTTAATTTTCCACCTAAACAGTAAATTAAAATACAGTAAAACTTCCCTAATTCGAATCGAAGACGAAGAAGATAAAATTTTAGTTAGAAAAAAATCCAAAAATAATATACAGGGTCCAGCAATAGTGCGTCGGACATCTGTAGTTTCTAGAATAATCTAGGACGTATTTCAGAAAAATATTTTAACTTCTACAGGGTGGCTCAAAAAAGTGTGAGTGGATCTGGATATTTTTTTTAAATGGAACACCCTGTATATTATTGCCTTTTTGACTTCCTTTCAGATCACTTTACATAATCCTAAGATATGAGTAAATATATTTCGATAGTTTCAGAGATATTAAAAAATAAATCAAAAATATATATTTTTCATCCCCTTCTTAAAAAAAATATTAAAAATACAAGAACTGTTCTGAAATCAAAACTATATTAGATATTTACTTTAGATGGTCTGTTCTTACTTTGCTATAAATATGGTAATCTTAAATGATACAGGATGTTCAATATTTTACGCCAAACTTTCAAAAATATAAAATATTTTTTCTTTTTTTTTAAATGGAACACCCTGTATATTATTTTTTTATTTGATGGAGAATTAAAAAATGAATTGAACTATTGAAATAATAATATACAGGGTGTTCCATTTAAAAAAAACAAAGAAAAATTATTTTATATTTTAGAAAGTTTGGCGTAGAATTTCGAACATCCTGTATGCTTTACGATTTCCATATTTATAGCAAAGTAAATACAGACCATCTAAAGTAAATATCTAATATAGTTTTGATTTCAGAACAGTTCTTGTATTATTAATAATTTTTTTAAGAAAGGCTGAAAAGTAACTAATTTTTATTTATTTTTTAATATATCTGAAATTATGGAAATGATATTTATTCATGTCTTAGGATTATGCAAAGTGATCTGAAAGAAAGCCAAAAATGCAATAATATACAGGGTGTTCCATTAAAAAAAATAATCCCGATCCACTCACACTTTTTTGAGCCACCCTATAGAAGTAAAAATATTTTCCTGAAATACATCCTAGTACATACTTTAGGTTTGCATTTAAACAAATTTAAAAGTTTTTTATTTTAGGAGCTACAGATGCTCGACGCACTATTGCCGGACCTTATGTATAGTGCAGTCAGTATTCATACGTGCCCATACATTACATTGCACATACATTATTAAATACATAGTCAGATAGTTAGTTAGACAACTTTGTATACATTTTTTATAGGATATTATTTACAATAAAAATACCTCTAACATGCACGTCTGCTCCATATCCTAAAAGAGTTTCTACTACCAAAGGTTTACATGATTCAACGGCTATGTGAAGAGCTGTGTAGTTATCCTAAAAAATGAGATAATAGCAAATTCGTAATTGTGATGATTTCCTTTATTTTAATATATTTATACTTACATTGGTTGTTACATCTACTTTTTCACCTTTTTGTAATAATGTGTTAATGATGCCCACGTGTCCATACCTCGCTGCTGTATGAATACTTCTAGCGCCATCCTTAAAAATATAGAAATTTTAATTAATACATATTTGAAATTGTAATTATAGTAAATATAGGTTAAAAAGTTATATCTCACAACGCCATATCTGAAGACTTATGCTATGTTCTGTAAGTTTAAGAAAAAAAAACATGTATGGGATGCAGGGGAACATATACGGGAGGGGTAATGGGGGTAATTACCCCTCCCAAGAAGAAATTTATAAATAAAAAATAAAATCTGGTATAAAATAAAATTTTCACTAAATAAATTAATAATGTCAATGAAAATAGAAATCCAGAACAATCTAAGTTTATTTTTATCCATATAGTCACAATACCTTTAAGCGATAATTTCATGCAAACCTATTACTTTATTTAAATATTGCCCCTACCCCTCCCAGAGTCAATCTCTGGATGCGCCACTGATGGGATGAAAAAAACAACATCTCTAATTACATATCACAAATCGAGAGAATATCACAAAATAGATTCTAACTTGTTTTACATACTTTTTCAAATTTGAAATATTACAATTATAGGGAAATTGGAACAACTTGCGTTGCACGTCATCAATGACATCATGCGTCGCGTCGTCTTATTTATGGTGTTTGCTGGTGGTCGTATTATGATGTGCAACGATAGTTATATAATTTCCCTATATTATTTAGCTTTATTTGGATCCTTATACAGGGTGTCCCAAAATTCCGTGGACATAGAACTAATACGTATTTTTGGAATCAAAGTAAGTTCATTGGACACAATTTACCTCTATACTGAAGTGCTTCATTTGTCTGTTAGAGGGCATCAAACTTCAAAAAAATAAACAAAACTTTTCATATAGAAATATCTTATAGAAACAATTTGATATTTTAAGAACCGTTATTCCGATTTGAATGAGATTTTGGGTGGTTTTGCTTTAAGTGCTTTAACATTTATCTTTGACAAAAATCCAGAAAAAGTACGGAAATGGTGAAAACTACTCCCACCCCTACATAAATTTTAGAATAAATATTTTCCAGCTTAACCGACGACCAATTTCTTTTCGTAAGTCCTTCTAGTTACTACACATTTTTGGTCTCTTGTAAAAAACGCCACCGCGCATAGTTTTATGGGGAAGAAAAAAATTTCGAAGCTCACTTCCAAAAAATCTTTTTTGGCATCAAGCTATGGAGGCGCATAAAATCTATTATGGTCTTAATAATCTAGCTGGCGAAAATATGGAATACGTCGCCGCCGAGGTCAAGCGTCGATAGCCAGTTACAGCAGGAACCAGTTACTTCTGTACGCGACAGACGGAACTACGGCTCTAGGAGCGCGACGGCTGGAACGAAGTTACGTCGCCGCCGAGGTCGAGCGTCGATAATCAGTTACAGCAGTTCCCAGTTACTTCTGTTCGCGACAGGCGGAACTACAGCTCTAGGAGCGCGACGGCTGGAGCGAACACTCGCGACGCTACGTACATACTAGTGCCAGTTCCTACTGTTGGCGACCGACGAAATCGCGACGGTTGGAGCTAAACACGTCGCTATGCGGTTACTACGGTTCCAGCTAACTTCAAGAGCGATTATAAATAATTTATTTTCAAATTATAAATAATTTATAATTTTGTCGTCATTATGATCGTCGTTCTTCAGTAACAGGTTCCTGACTCGTTGTGGAGCGCGACACGACGTTACAAAAAAATACCGCTCCAAAATCGCGTTACTCAGATACCGAGACTAGTATCAGGTTAATCTTAATTAATCACTAGTTTGGAGGTTAATTTTGGCGACTTGTGACTTATTTCGCTTCCAAAAATACGTAGCAGTTCTATGTCTACGGAATATCGGGACACCCTGTAGAAATATTTTTTTTTAATCTTTATATATCGTTTCAGAACATTCATTACATTCTCTTTTCAAATTTTGATTAAATTTACTAATTATCCATTTTCTTTCCGAAAATAAATAAATGTATAACATCATTTGGCAAAATAGCAAATAATAATGCCAACTTTCTTACTTGTGGTGCTTGTGGTATCAATAAAATTTACAGAAAAGACTTTTTGCATAGTAATTTTAACAAAAAAGAGAATATGCAAATAAAGAAGGATTTCCATATCAAAAGCAAAGATATGTCACACTGCCAACGTCTTGCAAAAATGTTGCGGTTTGTACGAAATCCTTATCAGGTATTTAATAACAGGACAGTAGATTTTCCTTGTCTGAATAATTTACCTGTAAAAAGCTTAATCTAGCTCTTTAGTACTGTTACGTTAGAAAACGTATTAATATTCAACAGAATAATTAAAGGAATTCTACATTTATTAGACCCAAATCTGCATAATTTTTATGTTTATACTTTTCTTTTCCACATTTTTATTTTTGAAAATAGAAAAGACATACATACATATCCAGAAACATAAAGTTTTCAAAGTCATTTCTATTTATAACACAGGTATCGCAGCACGGAAAATTATCCATCATCATTTTTAACACGCCATACAAAATTTCTTTGCAGAATCAAACAAGAAAAAGATGAATGCGATAGGTACAAAAATGGAAAATTTTTGACCTATTATTATAACTACGTACCTTGTTAGGCATATGTAAGTAAACTCCTTTTTTAAATAGCATCATTGCGCAATCTGCGTGTCCATTAAGCGACGCTATATGCATCAAAGTAGAGCCATCCTTAGTCCTCTCGAATATGCTTGCTTTAAATTTGTCAGCCAGTAGCTCTGTGTAAAGTTGGTAATAAATTAATAAAAATACGTCAAAGTTGAGATATATTCCAAATGTGAATAGATTATTAAATTTAACCCAGGGGGAAAAGTACTATTTCACAATTTTCTTTAATACACCCTCTACACTATGCGAAAGACAGTCCGAAGCAGGTCAAAGTCGTGTTTCCTCGCCTGACTTTGCCGCGTCTCGTCTTATCTTCGATTGTCTCAGCCTATTTCCGTTTGTCTTGACCTACTTTCAAAACTCCTAGTAAAATTGACTTTCGGTTGTTTCCTGTTGTCTCGTTCAGTTTTGTTTTGTCTCGAGCTACTTCCACAACATATCGGTTTGTATACCCGAGACAAAGGACTTTTTTTCATAAATCTCAGTGAAATAAGTACATCTCGTTTTATGTTATACAGGGTGAGTTTCCTACGATGTTCTCTATGGACATCTCGGAAACTACTGGAGATAGAGAGTCGCTTAAATGGGGGAAGAATTGCAGTTTTGTGAGGTCATAAATATGCGCCTTTCAGATTTTTGAAAAAGTTCTTACTCTAAAAAATGGCTTACTAGATATTTCGAAAAAAAAAAAATGTTTGGCTATTTTAAAAATTGTCCCTAATTTCACTATAATCTATTTTAGACAAAAAGTGTTCAGATAAAAGTTGTAGATAATCACATTTCTAATGAGATTGTGTTCTCCGATTTTTTCTAAAGCCTGTCATTTTTGACATATGCCACAAACATATGTTTTTTTAAAAGGAAACCATAGTTGGCAATGACTTCATAAAAAGATCCATTTTTTAAGCTTTTCAGCGATATAAGCTATAATATGTTTCTTTTACAAAATTACTGAGTTATAGCCAATTCTTATCTTTCTTGACTAATTTTACTTAGTTAGCCATGGAAACAAGTTCAATCGTCGTTGCTCTCAGAGGTGTGAAATTATCACATCCAATCTTTGTAAATTAAAATAAACAAAAATTGTAAATATTTTTTTTAAATGAAGAAATTGGTTCAACTTTTCTTGACCATACAAGATACGTTGACCAGTGAAAGTTACTTACGTTTTTTAGAGAACGGTTTCCAATGGTGTTCTAATTTTGTTATGATTTATAACTTATAAATAGACAAATATATTATTAAACGGCTCTTTACAATTTACATTACACAAACTAAAACTTAAAAAAATAATCAATACATACACTTTAAGTTGTTTTAGAAAATGTTTAAAAAATCCGCAACTGCTTTAAGTACACAAATGCATCTTTTTAAAACTGAATTTCTAGCTATTGTCACAGAACGACCGGTCAACTTAATTATTAATCTCCTGTTCCGCCTCTTCGAGTGCCTGTCATAAGTTCATAAGTTCTTTTGTAAACCTTGTTGTTAACCATACCGCATAAAAAAAAACTAAAATGGATAGGCCTATGCAATTGGTCCACCTCTTTCTATCCCTGAATCTACATAATTATGATATTGAAATAATTTTTAACATTTCTTACATTGTGGGGGGTTGGTGTGTCATAATGAAAGTCATGTTGCAACCACTCTATTAATGCGCGAATATCTAAATTTAACTTTTCTAACAGGTCTTGAAAACCGTTCTCTAAAAAACATAAGTAACGTTCACCGGTCAACGTATCCTCAAAACTGTATAGCCAAGAAAAGTTGAACCAATAATCCTACACGTATTTACACTTTTTGTTTATTTTAACTTACAAAGATTGGATGTGACAATTTTACATTTCTGAGAGCAACGACGATTGAACCTGTTTCCATGGAACTAAGTGAAATTAGTCAAGAAAGATAAGAATTGGCTATAACTCAGTAATTTTGTGAAAGAAACATATTATAGCTTATATGGCTGAAAAGCTTAAAAAATGGCGCTATTTATGAAGTCATGGCCAACTATAGTTTCCATTTAAAAAAACATATGTTTGTGTCATATGTCAAAAATGACAGGCTTTAGAAAAAATCGGAGAGCACAGTCTCATTAGGGATGTGATTATCTACAACTTTTATCTGAAAACTTTTTGTCTAAAATAGATTATAATGGAATTAGGGACAATTTTTAAAATAGCCAAAATTTGTTTTTTTCGATATATCTATTTTTTTCGAACTTTTTCGAAAATCTGAAAAGCGCATATTTATGACCCCACCAAACTGCAATTCTTTCCCCATTTAACTGACTCTCTATCTCCAGTAGTTTCCGAGATACCCATAGAGAACATCCTAGGAAACTCACCCTGTATATGTCACTGTAAATGTCCGAAATGCGGTAAAACCTTCGAGTTGATTAGCGTGGCTATTTGGAGGATGTTCTTTCATTGATAAATCCTAGGTTTAGCGCGCTTATCCTAGGTTTTACCGCATTTCGGACATTTACAGTAACATATATATTCCTCAAAACTAATATTTGAACACACGTAGGTATAATATTTATAATAGATATTTAAGAACAAAACTCTTCACTTAATCTGCAGGAATATAATTAGAATATGTTTATTATTTAATTTTATTATAATGAATTAGTATATAAAATTGTATGTTATGTTTGTTTACGTGCTTAGTTGATTAATATAACGGAAGTATTGATTGATGAATAATATTGGCAACATCATCAATATATCGAGCTGATTGGGAAAATTATTCATTGACTCCATTGAACTATGGTCCACGGATATTTTTAAAAAGCAATGTTCCCTTATTGTTTTTAAGAGAAAACTTTAAACGATACTTTTGTTAACACATAGCATCCTTTGACATAAATCCATTCGAAAATAAGAAATAATTAGACGATTTTTTAAATAGTTTAACACCATGGGTTCTATTCAGGTCCGGCGGAAGGACCGGGTGACCCGGGCGACCGCCCGGGGCGCCGAATGTGAGGGGCGCAACGCCAGCAACTAAAATATTTAAAAAAAATTGTTCGTGGTATTTTACTTATAACTGAAAAGCTATCAACTTTTTGTAAATAACCCTTCCTTTCTATAATTCTTGTTTGTAAAAATTTTCTCTAAACAAACTGTTTTGGGTCAAGAGCCAGAAAAATTGACAGTTTTAGACTGCTGGTTGCTCAAAATTGCACTTTGTCTACTACTCACACCCTTTATTTGTTAATGGCTGATCTGCCCTAAAATTATATGAGATAAATATTCATTCGCAAGAAGCTAAATAGGATCCCGATATCCTTATTATCAAAAAAAAGCTTGTAAGTTTGCATCATTAATTTATTAACAGTAGTGGGAAAAATATCAATCTTTTGGTGATTTTGATTTTTCTAGATTGAATATGTAGTAATACATGGTAAATGGTATCAGAATCGTAGAAATTTCTCATTAAAGCAAGACAAATGAATGCATCTCAAATCGCAAACACTGGCTGATCCTCATTTTGAAGCCGACAAAACTGTATCTGATCATACCTATACTGATTCTGCACGAAATAATTGATTGTGAAAAAGAAAGGAAATTTTTCTTAAATTCTTATAGAAAAATAATGCAATTGCTTGCAACTAAATAGTAATGTTTTCAAAGATCACTTATCCTTATCATTTATATACCGGGTGCGTCTCAACACTGGCTCACTCCTATTTTTTAGATGAAAAAACGAGATTTGGTATGTTAGTATACGACATAAATTAGGATTAATTGACGTATTCAATTGTTTTTGATCACTTCCTCTTTCACTGGAAATTAATAAAACTTTTGATTTTTAAATGGCAACCTCATATCATAATGTGTCAACTTTTGACATTTTTGCATATGGATTATTTGAAATTGTAACATACGGTTCATAACGACAATTTGACTCGAAATAGCAAGTGTGTGGTACAAAATTATTCGTAAAAAATTCTTTTTCCAAATATGCAAATGAGCCACTTGTTCCATTTGAAAAAATTGGCATATGATTAAAAATACGATTTGGGCATTTTTTAACCGACCAGGACAAGGCACGAAAAACATTATAGACGATCAAATCTATTTTTCCAAGGTTCCTTGTTTAAAAATTAGTGTTTTAACACAGCCATCGCACTATAAATTGAAATTTAAAATACGTTTTTTTGAGCAAAAATGTCAAAAGTTGACAAATGATATGTCATTCTACTCAGTGTGTAATTTTCTATCGAATATACCGACGGTACCATTTATAAATCAATAGTTTTTCGTTGGAACAGGAAGTGACCAAAAACAATTGAATACGTTAATCAATCCTAATTTATGTCATATACTAACATACCAAATTTCGTTTTTTATCTAAAAAAATAAAACTTTCAAGATGCACCCGGTATAGAAAAAACAACCGCTGACTAAGATTGAACAAAGAGAAGAATTTTGGAGTTCCTTTAAGTGAAATTTTATTGTTAAAGTAGCATAAATATGCTTAGTTGTTATGGTAACATGTTAACTATTGGGGGGGGGGCGCTAGGTAGGGTATTCGCCCGGTCTCAATATTTCCCTTCCGCCGGCCCTATAAGCCGATAAAAGGCGGACTGCCAGAACTATGTTCTTAATAACTAGTCAGTCACTGTTGCCCTGCAGTTTTACGATTTTAAGTTTTGGAAATATATTTTTTTACTACATTTTATTAAAGAAAATCAATAATATTCTACAATAATTAATACTAATTTCCGTATCGTAGTTTTTCAATATTCCTGTGTAACATTAGAGGAATGGCCAATTTAATCTACCATCGGTAACTGTTTTTGTAAATGCACTGTTTTTGATTTTTCATATCTTATAATATAGTGGTATTACATTACACTCCATTACAAACTAGTGATATTTATGCATACTCCATGTTTTTTTCTGAAGCCACAACAAAGTTTGACCTTGATTGCTTCGCGAAGTAGTACGAAGAATATACTTAGATCAGCTTTATAAACATTTTGTCGAAACTAATCAAAACGTTTTTTGAAATATTTCCGAAGGCAAATTCCAATAACAATAAAAAACAAACAATCACGCTTGTCTCGTTCGATTTCGATCTGTTTCGGATTTTGCGGCCGAAACGAGCCAAGATTTCCCGCAACACAAAAAAAGCATTCGGTTTACTGCTGAAAGTATTTCAAGAAATGCTTCGCGAAATGTTTCACGAAGTATTTTCAGAAATATTTTCAGGCATAGTGTAGAGGGTGTTTACTACTTTAGGAAAGTGTGGTATCATTATTTTTTTTCACAAAAGCTACAAGCAATATATAATAATATACACGATACATACCCGATACGATAATTTAACAAATTTAATACCGTTAGTAGTTTTACATTTACTGAATAATAATAACAATAACACAATAAAAACAAGTAACAAAATAGACGAACATGGTCTGTTTTGATACTACAGCTCTTAGTACTCTTGTTGTTAGTTTTTTTTTGGTTCCTATTAGATGTATAAAAATATACTGACAAATAAATTAATAAAACGGTTATTGTCAGAATGAAAATCTAATTGAAATGGATGTTCTCATATTCATTCATCTCATTTGTTGTTCTGGAACTGTAATATTGAAGTAACAAATCGTAAAATGCGTTAACTTCAAAAATAACGGGCATGAAAATATCAGTGCGCTGACCGTGATAACTGTAATAAAATAACAGGTTTAAAAGTGATCGTGTGATGACAGCAACGACTTGCAATGAGAAGGAAGTATGGAGCGCCTGCCAGACTCGTGACAGTTGCTACTTCCAATAACAAGTATAAAAATAATAGTTCCAAAAATCATTATTTTGAGATTTGAAGTTGATATCCCCACATTCGCAAAATTTTAACAGGCTTCTTTCATTTTTATGTTTTAACTGTTTAAAAATAAAACCAATAGATTTGTGAAAAAATGTTATTTTAAGCTGTTATTTTTTGATAACAATAACATTTCGAACTGTTATTTAGTTTAGCACAGAGTCTTAAATGAGTGCACATATTTTAAGGGTTATTATATTTCGTCTCCAGAAACTCGTCTGTGAGTTTCTTTTGTGAAAAAAAAATCTGAAAATTTGGAATTTTTTTGAAAAAAAAATGTTAGAAATCTTGATAATGTGGCAACATAGGTTGTGGATTAAATTTACAAGAAGGAAACCCCAGAAAAGATCCAATGGTTCTCAAAATTTAACCAAAACATTTTTTTTATAAAATACCTAACTCGGTTATTTTGGAGTTATCTAAAAAACGGTAAAGAGAAAATATGTTTCTTTTATCGAGATCTATCAACCCTGAAAATATTTGCACTTATTTAAGACTCAGCCTGTAATATCCTATAAGAAATGTATCGCATGATCGGAAAAAAGACTTCAAGTTATATATTGTTTATAGCTCTTGTACTACAGGTTAATGATGAGCTCCTGCATACTTGTACCCCAAAACTTGAAAAGTACGTAAAAAATTTTATAAAGAAGAACTGAGCTTCCTTTAATGTATTTATTTTATAGTTTTGTAATTGTTATCTTTTATTATTTACAATTTTACAGACATACCTATGATGTTTGCGTGTCCATTTTCTGCAGCAAGGTGCATTGGTGTACGATCCTGGAAATCCGTAATGCTGGCAGACGCTCGAACTCCATAAAAATATTTTACTAGCAGTTCATCACCTTCAGCCGCAGCTATATGAAGAGGCGCCTGACCTTCTCCATTTCTAATATCCACATTTGTTCCGTAATCCACCAATATTCGTACCTAGAGCAAAATTATTACTAGACAAGCCCTAGAATTTAAGATTAAACTTTTATACCATATCAATGTCTTTTCTTCGAACAGCAAGATGTAGTGCTGTGTCACCATTGGCTGCAGATGCTTTCAACTGTTCGGATGTTAATGTGCTCAGTAATTCTCTGCACATTGATTGGTTACCGGCTTCTACAGCAAGTAATAAAGGTATTTTTCCTCTCTGAAACACAATGAGATAAAGCATAAATCATATAAACCTTCTTTTTATCTATCTCTGAATCATATACCGGATGCCTCTCAAAAATGGCTCATCCCTATAACTTTTTTATTTTTTCTGATAAAAAACGAGATTTGGTATGATAGTATACCGGTTGCGTCTCAAAAGTGGCTCACCCCTATAACTTTTTTATTTTTTCAGATAATAAAACGAGATTTGGTATGTTAGTATATGACGTAAATTAAGATTGATTGACGTATTCAATTGTTTTTGGTCACTTCCTTTTTCACCGGTAATGACTACAACTTTTGATTTTTAAATGGCACCCTCATTACCCTTTATCCCACCTCACCCTTTATTCGATAGAAAATGACACTCTGAATAGAATGGCATATCATATGTCAACTTTTGATATTTCGCATATGGTTTATTTGAAATTGTAACATACAGTTGTTAACAGCCTTCTTTTATTTTTATGTTTTGACTGTTTAAAAATAAAACAAATAGATTTGAAAAAATGTTATTTTAAGCTGTTATAGTGTTTAAGCTGTTATATGTGCCAGAATTTATGCCATTATACTTTTTTTATCTGAAAAAAACAAAAAAGTTATAAGTGTGCGCCACTTTTCAGGCACACCCGGTATAGTAAATAACTTTGGCTATACAGGGCGTCCCAGAAATAAGTGCAAGTATTTTAAGGGGTGGTAGATCTCGATAAAAGAAACATATTTCCTCTTTATCGTTTTGCAAATAAGTCCAAAATAACGGAGTTATTTTACTTTGAAGTTTTCCAAAAAAATGATTTTTTGCTAAAATTTTGAGAACCACTGAATCTTTTCTGGTTTTTCTTTCTTGTAAATTTAATCTAATACTTATGTTGCCATATTATCAAGAAATTATGTTTTTAACTAAATAAATTTCCAAAAAATTTTTCAAAAAATGTCGAATTTTCAAATTTTTTTTTTCGGGAAAAAACCCTCATAGGCGTTTTTTGGGGTTGAACTATACTACCAGTTAAAATACTTGCACTTATTTTTGGGACACCCTGTATAAATAGGATATTTTTCCGTAGGTGTCATATTTTACGAGGTCTGAGCTAAAAAGTAATAACAGTGACGTTTAACCCCTCCCTCTCTTCGAGCTCATCGTCTTTCTTCGAGGACCTTTGAAACATGTCAGCCCAAGTCCAAAGGAATCGTTAAAAATCATTTTCAAAGCTGTTATTTGAAAAATGAAATTTGCTAACATATTTGTGAGTATGAGTGTGTTGTAACTCCGAATGAAAGAATTTAAACTTTCCACCTGGTTTTTTCCAAACAACTGCCGATAAATCCATAGATCGGCCGGGCCGAATGCACCGTATATTAGTTTTAGGATTTTCGTCCCCCAAAAATTGCTGAGGGATGCCGGTGCCTGGTTCCGCCGCGACTTTGACACGCGATACGACACGATCCGCCACAAAGACAACGTCAATGATCCGAGGTATGCGAATGGAGAATATTTACATATTTTCGATAAACGACGTTCGTCAAAAACGTAGATTGTCCCAGATGATCTAGGATATCGATTGAAGGAAAGTATCGGAAAATAATATAATTTAATTGCGAGTGCTTGAAATCGGTTGTAAACTTGGTAGATTTATCTTTAACTTATTAACTGTCGCTCATAACTGAGTAATGATATAAAAAGTAAAAATAATCCATTTTTATTTTGTCTATACAGTATGTCCCCGGATTGTCTTTACAAGAGGAAAAACTTTTTTATTATTGATATTTTGAGAAAAATGCATTCTTCATAAAAAAATCTTATTCTAAAATGGTTAATCCCATTTATAGTTTTCCAAATTTCCATACAGTTTTAGAGAAAATTTAAAAAAAAAAAATGAAAATATAGTTGAATTTGTTCTATGTCCTAAAAATCAAAAGACGTTTCTATGGTAATATCCTTGTTCATATATTAATAATCAAGGGTAATATCATTTAGATTTCGTTGTTAGATAGATATGGTTATACAGGGTGAGTCTTAAATAAGTGCAAATATTTTCAATCCTGGTAGATCACGATAAAAGAAACATATTTTCTCTTTACCGTTTTTGAAGTAAGTCCAAAACAACCGAGTTATTTTACTTTGAAAATTTCCAAAAAAAAAATATTTTTTGCTTAAATTTTGAGAACCACTGGATCTTTTCTGGGTTATCTTTCTTGTAAAATTAATCTACTACCTATATTGCCAGATTATCAAGAAGTTATGTTTTTTAACTAAAAAGTAAAAATTCCGAATTTTCAAAATTTTTTGTTCGGAAAAAAAAACATCATAATCATGTTTCTGGAGTCGAAATATACTACCCCTAAAAATATTTGCACTTATTTAAAACTCACCCTGTATATTATTGTATGTGTACAGACGGATGCTGCGAATCTCATGGGTACAAAGAATCACCAACGATGAAGTACTCCAGCGCATGCAGAAACAAAAAGTGATACTGAACACCATCAAGGAAAGAAAAATGCAATACCTGGGTCATGTGATGAGAGGTGATACTGCGCCTCATAATAGAGGGCTAAGTGCAAGGGAAAAGATCAGTAGGAAGACGCCAGAACTCATGGCTAAAAGATTTAAGGAGATGGTTTAAACGCTCGTCTGCGGAAATCTTCCGGGCTGCAGTTTCCAGAGCCACAATTGCCATTTGAATCGCCAATCTTCGGCAGGAGAGGGCGTGATAAGAAGAAGAAGTATATTATTATTAATTATAATAACATATAGATATTATTAGATTTTTTTCACAGCCCTTATGTCTGGTTAACAAGTGATCTCGGGAAACTGATTTCCAGGAGGTTCACTGCGCAGATTAACATTGTAAAACTTTACGGACTATTCGGCAAATTCTCAATATTGCAGACTTCTGAGATTCAAGTAGATAGGATGAGTTGTTAAGTTTGGTTTGGAAGTTTTTTTTAAGAAGTTTAGTTAAGAAGTTTTTTTTAGTTTTTAGTTAAGATTCAAAAACTTTCAGATTTTTTGAAAAACCCTTGCAGTAGCGAAATACCCATATAGGATTTTTTTGGAGAGATGAATCCGCGACATAGGTATAAACATTTTTTAAAAACCCTTAGCTGAAATAATGAATGGAATTATATGTACTTTATTTAGGTTATAACTAGTTTCAACTGGTAATTCAATTCACTGTACTTAGCAATCTTTTCTAAATAAGTTCTCTGCACATTTCCGTCAAGTGGCACACCAATATCTATAATCCATCCATGTTTATTCTTTCTGTCAATAACTAATATATTATCCGGTCTATTGTGGGACACCGCAGCGACAGTTATAATCGGAGTATCCCAGTATATGACAGATGACAGTATCATCATTCTCCGCCTTCCATGCAGGTATGTATCTGTGAGTGGGTTTGAGATCTTTTACTAACTCATGATTTTCCACAATCCCTGATGAATGACCTTACACACCATATTATGTCTAGCCAAGTATACTCTCCCGAGGCCAGCGGGGAGCACCCCCCTATACTGCTGTATGGACTCAAGCTTTTTCTCGCGCATTCTACATTTATCTAATTCAATATCAGTGCCTTGAATATTTTTAATGTATCCAGAGCATACAATAAAAAGGACGACTTGGTCTTGTATAGCGTGAAGAAATCCTTTCGTCTCAGGAGAGAGATAACCTGATTTTAGGTAAAGCAGGAAGCTGGAGCACAATTAACATCTGCTTCCTGATTTTCTTGGTAGGTATAATCGACATTTTGATGAATTCGGGTGGTACATACGATATTTTGTTAACCATTTTCTTATGTCATGTCCGTATAGTTAAATATACTATTATATTTATAATATTAGGCGGTATTTCTTTATTAGACGACTCTTTTATATCTGCATAAGCACAACTGATTCATAATTATGTAAAAGTCCAGGTTTGTATAATATGCGCCTATATTTTAAAAATTGATATTATTTTAAGGTTAATTATTTAATTATTTGTTTAGTTACTTACCCCATCTACTTTAAGACGAATATCTTTCCCACCGGCTTGCAAGAGAGCTCTTAGTATGGCAGTGGCAGTACCGGTTTGTCTCGAAGCTACTAAGTGGACAGCAGTTTGATTTCGACTCTAGAAACATTAAAAATATTATATAAGACAGACAATAATAATTGTTAATCATCTTCTTTAGTAGTTTTAAACAGAAGAAGAAATTTGATATATTTAATTAATTTGAAGCCAATTTAAAGTGAACGGAATATACAGGGTGTCCCAGAAATAAGTACAGATGTTTTAAGGGGTAGCAGACCTGGCCAAAAAAAACGTCTTTCTTCTTTAGCATTTTTAAATAAATTAATAATAACCGAGTTATTTAACTTTGAAAATTTAAAAAATAATGGCAACATTTTGAGAGCCACCGCCAGCAATCGATAATCAGTCGCAAATTACCTCGCATTTACCTGGATCTCGTCTTGTTCGATGCCCAAAATTGACACATCGACTAGAAATATTTAAAAACGACTTGGAAAATTCAGATTAAAAGTAAAAAACTTACCTAACAATAGAAAACGGAACTCCGATAGGATATCAGATCGATGTAATTAGGTTAGAACTATACTACCAGTTAAAATATCTGCACTCATTTCTGGGACACACTGTATAACAAAACATAAATAATATATAATTCAGATTGGAATCTGGCGTTGCAACAGAAAAATTGAAAATTTCCAGAAGTTTTAAAAAATGTGTTTTGGTCTTGTTCAGGGTCTTGTTCAGGGCTAACTGCTGGAAAAGAAAAAATTAGATATTAGTCATAAGACTAAATATCTATTATTAGGTATTAAGCAGAAGTTAAAAATTGATGGTAAAATCCAACCAAATTATACATTTTTAATACAGTGGTGCTAAAATATAATTAAAAACATTCAAAATTTCAATATCATTAATTTAATTTATATCCTGTATAGAAAAAAAAATACCTATTTATCATACTAAATATATAATACTTCTCATAACTACTTTCATTTAAAATAACAAAAAAATTTAATATTTATATGTTTATAATGTTACCCACAATTTACACATTATAAATAAAATATGATCAAAAATAAAGCGGCGGCGGTAGCTATGAAATGAAGATCGCTGTCATTTTATATGTAAAATCGTCGCTTCTCAGGCAACTGGACGCCGTTTTCTTTCGATCTTACGTTTTATTAGATGTATTTTAAACTTACCCCTCCAGTTGAATATGGATCTACACCTTTTTTTCCTAACAGTAGTTTTACAACATCCTCACGCGAATGCATGGCGGATATGTGAAGAACATTGTAGTTATCCTGCAAAAATAAAGAAACATGAAAAAGATATTTTTGTTTTTAATTTTGCTATTTGCCAACTATTCAATTAAAAGAATTCTGTTTGAAGGTGTAGATATATATTTAGTCATATCTCCTTTTTTTAACTAGTAATTTTTTTATACAATCTGTATACATTTTATTAAAAAGTTTTATACCTATACTTTTTAGAATAATTATTGATGTCTAATTTAGAAAATTTAAAGATTTTCCAGGCACAAATCAATTTTCCAAAAATATTTTTTTGTATACAGGGTGTTTCAAAAAACATGTGCCATCTCTCGGGTGGAGATTCCTCACGTAAAAGTAAGATTTATTTTTCATATCAACATAGGTCCGATTCTACTTTGTTTCGTAGCTACAGGGTGTTAAAGTCTTAATAATTTTTCGATTTATTATAATTTTCTTAAAGTACTTTTAGTGATTCTTTTAGTACTACATATTGTAATGTTAAAAAAGTGTAGATAAATTCATCAGGGACGTGCATATCGGTTCTCACTGGAATATTTTTCAAAAAAAAACATGTGCGCCACTGACTTTTTTCTTTTAATATCAAAATTGCGTAGGCCGTTTAATGCCAATTAAAAGTTATCTCTTGATATTTTGTTGAATTTGGCCTCCTTGGTGAGATAAACACAATTTTATTAATCACAATAAAATTAAAATAAAAATAAAATTAATAAATTATATATTTCACCTAATTGATTATTAAATATTATTACTATTAGTCCAACCTACAGCAATTTGAAATAAAAAGTAGTGGTATTTAAGATAAATACAAAAAAACTAATTTTAAAAAGTTTTAACATCTTGTAACTCTAAAACTATGCATTTCCATACCCATGTTCATAGGAACTTTTTTTCATATTTCTTGATGCGAACTCAATGAGTATTAATTTCGCACTTTCGCAAGTTAAGGATATTAAAGTTTGTTAAGTTTGCTATTAGACTTGGATTAAGGCAAATTATTAAAATTGCATTTATCTCATTAAGGAGGCCAAAATCGATAAAATATCAAGAGAGACCACTTTTAATCGGCAACTGCTTACACTATTTCGCTAACAAGAGAAAAAAAATCAGCAGCGTACATGCCTTTTTTTAGAAAAATATTCCAGTTATAACCCGTATGCACGTCCCTGGTGAATATGTCGACACTTTTTTACCTTTAAAATATGTCGCATTTATACTAACTTTTACCTTCAAAATTTCATTCGAAACGCTAAAGTCAGTTGGAAGAAAATTATAATAAATCAAAAAAAATATTAAGACTTTAACACCCTGTAGCTACGAAACAAAGCAGAATCGTACCTATGTTGATATGAAAAATAAATCTTATTTTTACGTGATGGGGAATCTCCCCACGGGAAATGGCACATATTTTTTAAAACACCCTGTATAAGGAAATAATTGGCGGTACTGACGTATATTTTTTTACTTTTTTCTAATTTAAATATTAATTTTTGAGAGATAATTTTCGAAGGTTTCTTGTTTATGTCAATTTTTAATAGAACAGGAGCACACCATAACAAAAACTGTCATCGTTATGTCATTTTTCACGTCGATTTTTTTTTAAGTACGGTAGCTTTATGTTTATATGAAGTACTCGAAGATACCGGGTGTTCCATTAAGAATAGCCCTCGGTTATATCTCAGAAAGTATTAGCCGAGAAGCCTGCGGCAAAAAAATATTTGTAACTAAAGAGGCCATGAGAAATTGTTGGAAATAATAAAATTAATAAGTTTGTATTAATAAAAATAATAACGTCATAATTTTCAGCAAACTTCAATTTTTTTTGGTTTGAATTGGTGGGGGCAGGTTAGATCTGTTTTTATTTAAATAATAATAACTCCGAACTGAGTTATCGAAATCAGAAAAACTAGGGTTGGTTTTAAAGAGAGTTCCTTACTGTATATTGTGCCAAATAAATAGTAATAATATGCATTTGACAGTATATGTAGGGTTGCCAATTTTCAAAATAAAAAATAGAGGACGAGAGGGTACAAAAGGGGCACAAGCGAAACGTTTTTTGAAACCTCACCCAAATATCTAGAATTTACTAAAATGATATGTAAACGGTAAGGAATTGGTGATCTTTCTTTTTTAAAAATATTTGTACTGAAAACTCTTGTTAAAATAAAATAAACCATTTTCAACAAAACTTTTTTTAAAACATTAGAGAACTAAGTAAACATAAAATTGTTAAACATGTTTATCGGTTCCACAAATATTTCTTGTGCATTAATATTTCTTCATTTTCTTTTCTGTACAAACAACTGGGAGTAGCAAAAGAGACAGATTAACAATTTTTTAAAGCACTGTGGCGATAGACGAATACTTTTAAGATTTTGAGTTTGGTATGTGAAAAAGAGGACTTTTCAATAAGCGAGAGAAAAGAGGATAGTGAGATCAAAAAGAGGACTGTTAGAGTACAGTCAACAACAGAGAAAAGTTGAACTCTGGAATAGAGGACGGTTGGCAAAAAAAAGCTTAAAAAGTCAGTGAAAACTCCATCTTGAAGTATATAAAAATATAAACATTTAGAATTCAAGCAAACTATTTGGATGACACCCTATATTTTAATTCCTGTTTTCCTGAAAAATCCATTAATTTATAAGCTCACTGGATGGCCATTTATGTGCTATCACTATATATATATATTCGGTATAATGATATACCAACAGAACCATAGTTCGATTTAATCAGGATAAAACGGTTATCGAACAAATGTACATTAACTGAGAAAGTAATTCCGCCATTTTAATCCTCCTAAACCCATTCCGCAAATTACATTTTTAATCTATCGATTACATAAAATTGCAGGAAATCTGCAAGTTGAATGTATACGAACGAATTAACGTTTTTTTCATAGCGGTTTTTCTGACAAAAAAGCTTTAGTATTTGCCTATAATGATATAAGATTAGTTACAGTTGAACAAGTATTTTAATTTAATCAAAAAATATATCTTTATGGAAAGCGAATAAATAAAATGCTATCAACTATAATGCAAGTGATAGCTAATTTATTAAAAGTATTTATAGAAAGTAGTTCTAAGTTTTTTATGTTGATAATACCAGGTGTTATTCAAAAGTGGGTCACCCCTATAACTTTTTTATTTTTCAGATAAGAAACGACATTTGGCAAATTAGTATAGGATATAAATCAGGATTGATAGTTGTACCCACTTAGTTTCAGTTACTTCCTGTTTCACCGGAAATAACTATAACTTTTGATTTTTAAACGGTACCCTCTATATTTTTTTTAGTTTATTTGATAGAAAATGATATTCTAATAGAATGGCATGTCACATGTTAACAAGATACAAAGAAAACAAGGTATGATCGATAGCGGCTCCAATTTCGTTCAGTTATATATCATACCTGTGACCGTAATACGCTATACAAAAAAATATCCATATTGTTCAATTGCCACTAATAAAAAAAACTAAAATAGGGACGAATTAACCAAACCAAAACCTCAAAAGTTATGTCAAATCATTGAGCTTGACATTTGAAAAGTAATTTTCACATTATTATGTGTCATCAGTTTGACGATTGGAAGTTGGCGCGCGGAGCTTGCCGACCAATAATTGTGTAGTTAGCACCTGTGACGTAATGACCAAGTAACCAAACCTGCGCAATATATCATACCTTGTTTCCTTTGTATCATGGTTAACGACAATAAATATAACGACAATTTGACTCGAAATGCCCAGTTATGTGGTACTAAATTACTGGTAAAAAAATTCTCTTTCCTTTTGGCTATCGCTTTTTTGAAGATTCCATATTTAAAATGGCAACATATTAAACAACATCAGACCAGATCAGGTGAATAGCCAAGCAATATTACCGTTTACCATTATAATTAAAACCGTTTTAAGTCTGGGACTTCTCTAAAAAGTGTCTTAAAAACAAATCCAGAATTAACAAAACAAGAGAACAAGTGTCTACGTTGTGAATAAAGTGAATCGTATATTGGAGTAGTAAAAATTTCTCTAAATGTACGACTTAACCTTAAACGAACCTAAAAAATACACGGCAATGAAGTGAAAAAAGTCACATATTATATACCATGTGTAATGTAAGCACCACAATATCAGGAAACCGGGGTTGCCCACAAAGTAAGCGTAAATTTTAAAGAATCGTATAATATCTAGCAACGGTAACATCTTTAGCCATCCAAGAATGGAAATTTCCACATTATAGCACTTATAAAACGTACAAAAGCGGGTATTTTTCAGGGGACAAGCATACGCTTGATTGCATCCAACATTTTCACGGGTAAATACTCTGCTCAGTACTTTTAGAATCTAGATTACCTCAGACTTGTTAACAGTATGTGATACATCTGCCCGAATCGTTGTCTAAATAAAAATGTTTAAGGACGTAATAATGGAAGTCCGAAATTCTTTTACTTTCAATATCAGTACTTAGTTCATATAAAGTAAATTACTGTACTCATATAACTAATACAATATCGCGAGGATGTCAAGATCTTAATTTAATATTAACAATCCAGTGTAATCCAAACTATAAACGACCTCACGGTCATTTGTTGAGTTTTCCATGAAACTTGATTTGTCATAGTTTTTGAAAACATATTTTTTGCCTTTCAACAATGACCCCATTTTCAAGGTAAGAAATTATACTTGAATAATATGTATTATTATTCTGAGATTTAGGTCTTTTACTGGTCACGCAATATGACGTTATTTTTATAGGTTTTTCTTTTACCAACATACAAGTTAAAATAAAGAGATAACAGCTACATTATAGTTTTTTATCAAAAGACATTATAATACTCAGTAATAATTAAGCTTACCAAAATGCCAATGTGATAAAATACCAAAACTGTCATTTAAGTTTTAATATTATAATGTAACTTAAAGAGCCATTAGTATTATACAGTGTGTCCATGGATTGACTCCCAAAGAGGGAAAACTTTTTTATTCGTGGGTTTATGAAAAAAAGTTATTCTTCATAAA